CGGCAACGACTCCATTCAATAGCAATGTTAATGGTAATAATCCCTCTTAAAGATAATCACTCATCTTTATTATCACTATAAACGTCATTGTAATAAAAAAATAATAAAAACAATGAAAATGGTAATAATTACACAGATCGCTCTGCCACGGAGCGTATTTCCTCAGCCAACTTCCGTTTTTCTTAATTTCTTTTCTTCATTTTCTTTTTAATTCTATGTTATCTTTAATATCTCTACAATTATTTCTTATATTGGTTTCGATATCTTGCTGAGAGTACACTCATATCACGTGTTTTTAAGCATTTTAATAAAAGTTGCATGTTAAGGAACTGATGATGATGACGATGACATAAATAACAATAATAAAGACAATATCAGTAACAATAATAATAATCATAATAACAATAATAATGATAATAATAATATGAATAATAATGATAATAATAATATGAATAATGATAATAATAATATGAATAATAATAACAATAACATTGGTAACGACAAACGCCGTTATCATATTATCACAGGTAAGGCTCCCACACGTAATTGTAATATCTATGTGACAATAACAAAAGAACAAATCCCTCGAATAAGCGCCATATATAAGGACCGCCGCCCTCGCGCCCTCTCAGTTCTCCCGCACAAAAGGTCTTCCGCCGCACGCACGGGTTCGAACACGCGGCCGCGAGACCTCACCCGCGGTCCGTGACCCTCGGCCGGACCTTCTTTTCCACGATGGAACTTCTTTTCATTTTTTAAATGGGATTATCGCTTTTAAGTCCGTATTTTTAGATGAGTTAATTGGGCCTTTTTAAAGATTGTCTTTTACGCAAAATAACCCCTCGTTATGTTTGAAACGATGTCTAGCGTGGCCCTTAATTCTTGCGCTAGTCACCTGGGCGCCAGAGGGAACGCACTTGACCCCCCCCCCCACCCTGCCCTGACACACCCAACCACCTCGTGTCTCATCGGCAAAGCAAGATATCCTTCAGAAATCTTTCTTTTTCCCTTTCCCGCGCGTCCATGGCGATCGTCCTCCTAAAAGTTGAAATCCGCATACACGGGGACGAAGGAAAAAATCTACGGGCTTTTACGACAGTTTCAATAACAGGATCTCTAGAC